ACAATTAGGAAAGATCAAAGATGTGTCATTTGGCCGAAACCGGTTTGGCTCAATGGATAGAGCATAGGCCTGCTGACTGAAAGGTCCTGGGTTTGATTCTGGTCAAGAGCATGTACCTTGGTTGCGGGCACATCTCCAGTAGGGGACGTGCAAGAGGCAGCTGATAGATCATCGATGTTTCTAACTCTCTCTTCCTCTCTGTAAAAAATCAATAAAAATATATTTTTAAAAATTTATTTTAAAAAAGATGTATCATTCGAGACCAAGGGCTAAGATCATCCAAACCCTGAGATTCCCCATTGCTATGCACGGATGAGAAAGTTAGTAAAGAAGGCTGGGAAGAAAAAAAAAAAAAAATGGATTCAGTTCAAATGTGATCTTGGAGGAGAGCTCCACAGACACTCTGGACTGCTAGAAAGAGGAACAAGTGGGTCCTAAGCCTGGAACTTCACTGGAAGCAAAATGACAGAACTGAAGCTGCCCTACTTCGGGCACATCAGGAGAAGGCAGGGTTCTTTGGGAAAGACACCGATGCTGGCGAGAATAAAAGGCAGCGGGAGAAGAGGAGGACCCGATATGAAATGGACCCGCTCCATAAAAGAAGCCATAGGCACGAGTGTGCAGGAGCTGAGCAGGGCTGTTGAGGACAGGACATTGTGGACACCACTTATTCATCGTGTCGAAGTAGACTCAATGGCACTTCACAACAACAATAACCTTGATACGAAACATGCAACAAAAGCAGTGCAAGGAAAGAAAATTAGAACCAATATAATTTATGAACATAGACGCTAAAAATAGGAAGCATTCACAAAGCGCATAAAGCCTGGTATTAAAAATAAACATACATACAAGCAAACAAGGTTGATCTCAGAATCCGAGGATAGAGCCTCATTAGAAAAAAAATCTATCCAAGTGACCCATTACATTAGTGTATCAAAGACAAAACCTATCATCATCTCAATAGTTTTAGAAAAAGCTCTTAATTAAATTCAGTATTCCTTTCATGATTTTAAAGTATTCCTATTTTAAACTCAACTGGGATAGAAGGGGATTCCTTAACCTGATAAAGGGCTTCTACCAAAAACTTTCAACAATATCATAAATAATAATACCACATTAGAAGCATCCTCAATGAGCTAGAAATAGGAAAACAATACTTGGTCTCCACCCTTAATATTTTATGTTATATTGGAGGTCCCAGCCCACCTATTGAGATAAAAAAGGGGGGAAAGTATCAAGAGTGTTATTTACAGATAGTATGATTATCTACATGGAAATACCAATGACTCTGCCAATAAATTATTCAGCATGTTTGCTAAAACAAGATTATTCCAAAACCAATTTCCAAATAGCAAAAATAACCATTTAAAAACTTTAAAAAGAATCCAACTTATTATAGCAACAAAAGCTGTAAGGTACCTAGGAATAAGTCTAACAAAGAAGCACAGGAGTTTCATTAACAAATCATAAAATGTTCCTGAAGGACATGAAGAAATCAGAATAATATTAATATATTGGATGACTCAGTTTATAAAGATGTCACATCTCCCAAAATTTAACCTGTAAGTTTAATTTAATAAAATACCAAAAAAAAAAAAAAAGTTTTTCAATGGAAGTTGACAAACTGATGCTAACGTCAGTATGGAAGAGTAGAAGTCCAAAGATAGCCAAGATAGTTTTTTTAAATGAGCAAGAGAGGAAAACGACCTTCCAGACACGAAGACTTGTTATAAAGCCGTAATAATTAAAACAGTGTGGTATTGGCTCAGAATTGATTTGCTTGGTGGAGAAGGATAAAGTAGAAGCATATCCAGAGATACGTAGACATCTAATTTTCAGTCATGGTGGCATTACACACTAATGTGGGAGTGAAAGGCTGTCCAGTAAATTGAGGCAGAACAATAGGGTTTCCAGGTGGGGGAGAGGAGGAGTAAAAGTAATTCCTATTTTACACCACTGGGAAAAAATAAGTCCCAGGTGGATAAACTATACAAGTATAGAAAACAAAACTTTACAACATTAAGGAGAAAAAAAAAAAAAGTAGGAGCCTCTCTTCATGGCATCAGGCATGGAAGGAGTTCTTTCATGAGACACACAGTGACACTAACTGTAAAGAGAGATCAGGGACTAGGACTACGTTTTAAATTTTCTGTGGCACAAAACACATCAAAAGCAGTTAAAAGAGGAGTCACAGACCAAGACAATATCATGTTTATGCGCATGAGCCCCTACACATCAAGAGAAAAAAAAAGGTGAAAATATTTACAGCCCGTTGGAAAAATAGGTGACTGTGAGAAAGCAAATCACAGACTCAGAAACCTTAATAGCCAATAAAATGCTCAACTCACCAGCAGTGAGGGAAATTCAAATAAAACAATGAAGTACTGAGTCTTTAGAAAATCAAATTGTCAGAAACAAGGAAACTTTGAATCTAGAAAGTGTTGAAGGTCACGTGAGAGAAACAACTAACACTGCTGATGGGTGTGTAAATTCAAAAAACATTTGGCAGCCTCTAACAAAACTGAAAATGTGTGAGCAGGCTAGCAATTCCCCACCTAGATTCCCCACAGAGAAATCCTCATATATGTCTCTGGGACACATATACACATATATTCATACTAGCATTGCCCATGATACCAAAACATTGACAGCAGCTTAAATATTCATTAATATTTATGAATGAACAGGACACATTCACATGCATGGACTTATAAATACAGTATAGCCATGAAAATGAATGAATTGGATGTGTATTTATCACCATGGAAAGAACAGAACATGAAGGGAAAAAAGACACAGAATAGGTACAGTCTAACACCACACTTGTACATTTTAAAAAATCAAACAAAGCAATGTTCTGTGTTTTTGTGGGTTAATTTGTTGTAAAAGTGTAAAACCTAGATTGTAAAGTTATTTACCAAATTCATGATAGTGTTTACCTTTATAGTAAAGGGTGGAGAATGATTTTGGAGAGGAGTACTGAGAGATTTCAATTTTATCAGGAGTGTTAAATAGTTCAATTAAAAAAAAAATAGACCTGACACAGATATGGCAAAATATGAGCATTTACCAATTTTATGAGATAGGTAAATGGGTGCTTGTGATATTCTCTCTGCATTTTAAAATATCTTTACATTTTTTTAAATAATAAAATTAAAAGAAAAGCAACTAGTGTAGATTAAGAGTTAACTGTCTAAAATTTTAAGGCAAGCAACTTTACAATAATTATCTGTTTTAGAAGGGAATAGCCACAAAAATAATAAAGCTGGCAATAATATAAAACTACTAAAATGAATAGATTCTATAGGTATCAATATGGATAATTCTCAAAATCATACTGAGGGAGAAAAGTAAGTTGCAGAATAATATGTAACATTTAAAATGCACAAGCATAGATATAGATTGATATATAAATATATATAGGTAGTTAGATAATAAAGTATAATAACAAATGCTGGAAGAATACACACATTATAATGCTGATTACTTTGGGAAGGAGGGGGAATGTTGAATGGGACTGAAGAGGGAAATAAAGTGACATTTAACACTCTCTTCTTTAATATAAATTTTAAAAACCTAGAGCAAATATGACAAATTTGACAAATATCTCACATTTGATTATTCTAGGAAGCAAATACATAAAGGTGTGTTATTCCTGATGTATATGTATTTTAATTGTCAAAAGAAAACGCACGGAAGAATTGCAAACAAAATGCACATAATTCAATGTATCAGTAAAGCTGTGTACATCAAAACCCCTGCTTTGCCCATTTTTAGAAATCATCCTGTTTGCTTTTCTGTGTTTTTTCAATTTTTAAATATCAGAGAAGTCTGCAAATAAATGAAAGCGGTGAATAAATATAAGAACATATACAACCCGTGTCTGATTAATATTAAAAAGAAAAAAAGCCTCCGCAATCACAAAAACACCCTATGAGCAATTCTATATCATTTGCTGCCTTTTCTTATTTTTTTAAAAAAATTTGTCCAAAGGAAAACAAAAGATGCAGCCTCATTAGAAACGTGACTTTCTATTAACTCAAATCGTGCGAGTCCATTTTCATGTGTTTATCTCGCTACTAGTCTATAATTTGTATTTCAGCGTGCAAATCTGTCCCTATGCCTGTGACAGGTTAATGCAGTTTAAACATGCGGGGTTTTTTTTCCTCCTTTCGTTGGCTGACTAGTTAAATCGTTACTCAAAGGATTTTAAGTTTCAATTTCAACCGTGAGAGAGGATTTCTTTGCTTTTTCAGGGTTAAAAAAAATGTTTCTGATTGCAAACGCTCTGAATGAATGGCTACTACGTAGCGGACCTATTTAGGGAGGAATCGGTACCGACCCGGGTGCACAGCGGGGACTGCTGAATGAGAAAACTTTTTCGGATGCAGACTTGGGGGAGATTTTTTAAATCTGCTCTGACAGCCAGCCGCGGACGGAGCCGAGATGCCATTCCAGCCCGCGCCACGAACGATCGCGTCTTTACGAATCGAAAGACAGGTCAGGTATTAGCGGGGTTTTTTTTCTCTCCTTAAGAAAATAAAAAAAAACTTTCTCGGACTCCGCCGCCGGACACCCAGCTGGCGGAGGACCAGCGGGCGCGGGGGGGCGAGGCCGCCGGCAGGCTGCCCAGAAGTTACGATCGGAGAGTTTGCTGTGCATGGAGATTACCTGGCTCGCCAGCAGAGGCGAGAGCGCGGAGACAAGATAATTCCCCCGGCTGCGCGAGCGGACTTGGGCCGGCGGTCCGCGCTCGGAGGGGGTGTCCTGCGGCCCGGGGCGGGTCCCGCCGCCGCCCCCGCGGGCTCCGGTGCGTCAGGGGCGCGTCAAGCGGGGCGGGCTCCGCGCGGGCGGCGGCGGCAGCGGCAGCGGCAGCGGCAGCGGCAGCGGCGAGCGGCGGGCGGCGGGCGGCGGGCGGCGGGCGGCGGGCGGCTGGCGGCGCGCACCGCGCAGCGCGCACCGGGCACCGGGCCTCCTGCTCTTCGCGCCGCGGCGGCGGGACGGACGCGCTGGAGAACTCGCCCGCTCGCGGCCGGCCGCGCTCAGCCCGCGCTCGCCGGCGGCCCCGGGGCGGCGGCAGCGGCGGGGCCAGCATGTCAGCGGCCGCCGTGGCGTGCCTGGACTACTTCGCGGCCGAATGCCTGGTGTCCATGTCCGCGGGCGCCGTGGTCCACCGCCTCCCGCCGCAGGACCCCGAGGGCGCGGGGGAAGCCGCGGGCTCCGAGGTGGGTGCGGCGGCGCCGCCGGAGTCCGCTCTGCCTGCGGGCGCGGGACCACCGCCGGGACCCGCGGCGGCGGCGGTGCCCCTGCCTCTCCAGGTCCCCGCCCCCGGCCCCGGCGCGTGCGGCGCCGCGCCCCACCTGCTGGCAGCGAGCGTCCTGGCCGACTTGAGCGCCGGCGCCGGGGAGGGCTTCGGGGAGCCCTCGGGGGAGGCTCTGCGCGCCTCGCCCGGCATCCTCGACCCCGGCCCGTGCACCGGGCCCACCCCGTGCCTCGAGCCGGCCCTGGCCCCCGACCCGGACGAAGATTCCTGGCCCGAGGACCTCACCGGCGCGCTCGAGATCGTAGAGGCACCTGAGGACTCCGGATCGCCCGCCAGCCTGGAGGGGGCCTCCGGGGCGACCCCTGGCGTGCGCCCGGGCCCTGCCGCGGCCCCGGGGCCCCGCCGACGGCAGGTGACACCCGCAGCCAAGCGCCATCGCTGCCCCTTCCCGGGCTGCAACAAAGCTTATTACAAGTCGTCACATCTGAAGTCCCACCAGCGCACCCACACGGGGGAACGCCCCTTCTCCTGTGACTGGCTCGACTGCGACAAGAAGTTCACGCGCTCCGACGAGCTGGCCCGCCACTACCGGACACACACTGGCGAGAAGCGCTTCTCCTGCCCGCTCTGCCCGAAGCAGTTCTCCCGCAGCGACCACCTGACCAAGCATGCCCGCCGCCACCCCGCCTACCACCCCGACATGATCGAGTACCGGGGGCGCCGCCGCAACCCCCGCGTCCACGCGCAGCCTGCCAGCTTGGTGGACAGCTCCGGCTCCGCGCCCGACGAGGAGTCCAGCCTTACCGCAAGCCTGTCCGACGGTCACTGCTGCTAGTCGTCGTCCCCCAGCGCAGGGACGACCTCCCCCAGCCATACTACCCCTGCCTTCTTTTCTGCCCAACCTTCTTTCCCGGTGTCATTCTGCCGAGGCACGCAGACTGGTTCCTCTGCTCCGAGGCTGGGTCCAGACTGGCATGTTGGACCCTGGGGAGGGACTGGGGGCCTGAACGTAGCAGGAGTTCTTTCGAGACTCGAGACTCGTAGATCCTCCTGAGAGGGTGGAGGGTTGCCTCAAAGACAACCCTTAGGAACGGATGATGAGAAGGAATGAACAGTCAACCCCCCGTTACTCTCCAGAGTCCTGAAGATGATTCTCCTCCCTTCCCTGGAAGCAGAGATGTGAAACTGGAATGCTCAGGTGCCTGAGGAGCTCCTGGTCTCCAAGGACTCTGGTGTCTTATCCGCCCACCAGGGTGGACCTGGAGGAGTGGTATTAGGTCTTGGGAGTGTCCAGGACTACTGGGATGGTTGAGAGGCCTTTGGAAACAGAAATGGTTTCTATTTCTGTAAACAGCGATGTTTACTAATTTATTTTTAGTGTCTTTTAAACAGGGATTCCCCAGGTTGATGGGAGGTTGAAGTCCTCCGCGCCCCAGTTGCCCCAGCTTCCTCTGGTAGGCGAGACCATGCTAGAGTCCACGCGGAGGTGTGTGGCTGGGAGATGCTTCTCGGTGTCTGGGGAATGGTGCGAGTCTGCTTTGCAGGTCCTGTTGCTTGGTTTAGAACCCCGCACTTTTGTAGTAGCCTTTCTTCCCGTGTGGATTCCTAGGTGGGGAGGGTGACTTCTTGGCTCACCCCCGGGTGAGATTGGTTTAAAATTTTGGAAGCAACCATAAAAAGCACCAGAAATGAAGGGGCGGTGGTCCAGGCCAGTTCGCCCTTCTCCCAGAGGGTGAACCCAAGTGGCTTTGGGTGAGAAAGATCCAAAAACAACTTTCAGGGAAATAGTGCGTGTGGTTCTGGCTGCCCACTCCGAGGAATCTCAGGTGTGGTAGGTTCTGTTCATTTCGTAATGGCGAACGAGGGGGTTCTTTTTCTTTTGGGATCTGTGCATTTTTGGTTCAGCAACAGTGCGTTGGTAGTTTGAGGAGGGGAAGGAAGGTGAGAGTGGCTTCTTCCAAAGAGCTGGCTGCCCTGGATTTGGGGGAAGGAAATGCCAGGTGAAAGCTATTATCCAATAAAAGGACCCTTTCCCCACCCCCTCCCGGACCCTTGAAGTTATACCCTCAGGACCCCTCTTTCCTAGTGCAGACGTGAGCATCAACAGTATTTATTTTTTCTAAGTGTATCTCTGCTGCTATGATGAAATTGTCTGCCACTTTGCTTCTGTGTATGTGAATGTGTATACGTGTGACCCTTTCGTTAGAGACGGGGCTGGAAGGCAGTTCCTGCTCTGGTAAGGTTCTCCTCGGCCCCCTCCTGAAAGTCTTGTAATAGTCTGTGAGTCACGCTTTGTGGAGGATGCCTTAATCTCAAAGAACTGTAACCGGCATCTCGTTGACAAACTGCTTTCCGCTCGTTTGCAGATGAAGACACTGAAACCTAGCTAGATAAGCTTAAAGTCACGTGCTAAGTTGCTGGCAAAAGCCATGGCTAGACGTTAGGTACCTGCTTTCTAAGTGATTCCCCTCAGGCTTGGTTGTCCTATCTGCTTTCTCTCTGGGGGTCAGTGGAACCCCTCCCTCCTTTCCTGCCACCAGATCCCCTCTTTCCCGATTCTCTATCGTTTCTGTGTTCCTTCAAGTGTTTGGTCCCCGCTGAATTCTTTGCTTGTTGTGTTTAACCCGAAAGCCCTTTCCTTAGCAGGTTGAGTTCATTTCCTCCTTCCACATCATGTGGACGTAGAGTGGGAATGACTCTGACGTCTTGGGAGATATTTTATCTGTTGATCCGGCAGGTTACTTTTCAATGTCAATTCTATTCTATTCTCTTTCTGGTTGTGGGTGTTCCAGCATCCTCAAGAGAGTGAGCGATATGAACCTGACATTGGGACTCTACTAAGTGCTCATGTACTAAGCGAGGGAAAGGTCCTTAAGAAGGATGCAGAGGCTGTGGCCTGTGACTCTGAAGATGCTTATTGTTTCCTGATGTGGACTCAGCAGGGAAGGTGGCTCTCTCCTTGGGTTACATCTGGGAAAAGGAGGCTCCCAATTGTGGAGGTGGGTTTGGTGGTGGGAAGAGTCCTCCCTTTGCTCTGTTTGTCTCCTCAGCTGGAACTGGGTAGGAAGGGCGATCCAGGCCCCTTGAGGACTATGATTTTCCCTTTCAGTAGAAGATCTGCCATTGGGTAGGTGGACCAATGAAGTTAACAGGAGAGACTCCCACTGACTGTTCTGGAATCTGGCTCAAAAAGTTTGGCTTTTCCGACTACCCTTTGATAAATAACTTTTCATTCTCAAGCTCCCAAGCAGTGTCCTTTTTTGGGGGGTTTCTGTCTTGGGGGCTTTTGTCTGGGGGTGGCTTCTCACAGTGTAAATGTGGCGTGTCTGTCTTTGGTCATACCATCCTGAACACACCCAATCTCATCTCAATGTGGCATGTCTTGCAGCGACTCCTCCTAGGACTTGCAGAGGTGGAGAAGGAAATACCCAGAACACTACAATAGCCACATAATGGAGGCAAGATTTGTAGGCTGGTCTTCCTTAGTTTTCACTCAAATGGCCAAACAGTTCTTGAGGAGCAGTTATTAGTGAAATGACCTGGAATGGGTTTGAGTGGTGTTTCTATTGCTTCTTTTTGTTAAACAGATAGAGTTTAGTGAGTGAATGTACCTAGGGATTGGTTGGGGTCAGCCTGAACCTCTGGGCCCTTATTCTACTCCTGCCATCCTGAATTCTAATGTAGGGATGACTTAGTAGCAGAATATAAATTAATAACACTCTTCCTGACATCTGGGTTGGGAACTGGGAATGAATTCCAGGTCATGCCTAAGGTGTGAAAGAATTGGACCCCCTACCATTGTTGGGGGTGGGGTGAAAAATACAGGCCTTTTCCCACCCATGGAGATAAGAATCTGTCATTTGTCCCTATTTCCTCTTTTTTTTTTTTTTTTTTTTTTTTTTTTTTCCCTCTCGAAGGAGGGAACCATATTGAAATATCACTCATGGCCTCTGTCTCTACCTCTTATACACTTCTCCCAAAGAAAGATTGTGTTCTCTGGCAGAGACATAGGAAAGAGAGTCATTGCTCGCGTGCACACAAACACACACACACACATACACACACACACACACACACACCTCTCTTCTCTCTTTTGCACCCTTTTGTCTGTAATATGTATGCATTCCACTCAGATCCAGCTTTCATATGCACCTGCTGAGGTCCAAGCCTACCTTCCAGAGGCAGGTGTGAAGAGGACCTCTCTCTGTCTCCACTTTTGGAGCAGCCACACCCCTTTGCAGCTCTCCAGGTAAGTGTTTCCTTTGTTTATTCTCCCAATGCCAGCAATTGGGAAGGATTGGAGAGGCATTGGTGGGATGGTATTAGAAAGACCAATTGTGTCTATAGAAACAGATTCGTCCACGAAATACTGATATGTTAATATTTGTTTGTCTGATTCCTCTATTATTCAGTCGGTTGAGACCTAGAGGGGAGAGGGATATGATTAATTTTCTCTCATAAGCCCCAACACATACAAATATGCATTGGCTGTTAATTCTCGAGAAAATAGGCACCTTGGCTGACTGGAATTAGAAGACCAAGATAAGATATAGGAAGATGGGATATACTAGATGTCCCAGCTTTAGTGATCTTGAGCCTTTTAGTTCTTTGGCATTTCCAAGTTATAGCAGCTTACAGTAGCTAGTATACATAGACAAGTCGCTATTTTTTAGAGGTACTGGACATAGAACTTTGCAAAAGTAGGCTACATAGGTTATTCTGGCTGATCTTGGTTCATATGATTTAGTTGAAACAGGCTTGCTACAGAAGGGAAAGGTCTACTGAATGGAAAAATTTGTGCTGCCTTTATTCTCAGCCAGAATTGTAAACAAGGACCTTTTAAGGTGCAGTGGCTCAAATTTCGCAAGTTTGTGAGACTCTAGCCCTTATTTTGTGCCAGAGGATGAGCAGGTGGCATTAGATCAGTGAGTCATACCAAATTGGTCCCCTTTTGTCTTCATTTGAATTCATCCTTTTATAAGGCCAATGAGAGACCTATGGGAGGGGCTAAGTTCCTTCATTCACATGGATTATCAGAGTCACCTTCTATTTATGTGCCAAATTGGTGCCAGAGGTGTTGACTATGTAAGACCTCCCAGTGGAATGTCAGGGACTCCGCTGTGTGTTTAATTGCAGAGGAGTGGTGGATTTTAATCCTAACTAGAGAAAGAGGGATGCAAATATTTGTTACGTTGGGTTTGAGGTAGAGAGAAGCAGCACTATTAAAATCCCCAAAGCTAAGAAGAGTATTTGAGGATTGTGTCTGGATTCTTCTTTACCTACAAATCAGGTCTATTCAGGTAAACATTTAGCAGCCATATTTGTTCCAAATATACATTTAGATTTTGAAGTCAGACAGAAGCAGTGGGAAGGTGAAAAATGAATAAAGACAGGCTGATTGAGCTGAAGAAAAAGAGGGATTTCTTTAGAAGGATGGTTGTGTTCTTAAATGACAGAAATAACAAATGGGAAAATAAGAAAGACCAGGAGCCAACCAATCTTAAAGACGGGATTATAATAGAGAGTGGTGGGTTAGTCATTACAAAGCTAGAGGAGGTGATTAAAACCCGAAGTGATATAACAGGATAATGGGACCAAATTCTCATAGAAAACAAATGCCTACCCTCACCAGGGACCTCGGATCGAAGGAAATATAGGCAGGTACCTACCAGAATCTGCATAGAGCACAGCGGAAAATCATCCCTTTATCGTTGAGCTAAGTAAACTAGAAGGTTACAGAAAATGTAGATGCACTTCCAATATTTTAGCTTAGTCTCAGTGATATAACCATTGTAAATGGTAATATCAATATGGCTTGGAGAATGAACAGAGTTAGGTCTCTAAGGGAAAACATGTAAATGAGACATGTAAAATGTATCAGAGTAATTAATCAAATTAATAGAAATTAGGAAGAAAGCATGGTCAACTCAACTGGTTCCAAAATATATACAGATGCTCCTCTACTTACAATGGGGTTACATCCCATTATAACTTAAAAATATTGTAAGTCGAAAATGCTTTAATACACCCAAACTACCAAACATCATAGCATAGCCCAGCCTAACTTAAATTTTCTAGGAACACTTAAATTAGCCTACAGTTGGGCAAAATCATCTAACACAAAGCCTATTTTATAATAAAGTGTTGAATACCTGATATGTATGTAATTGTGGCTTGCCATCTTCATGCTGAGTAATTATGCTGCTTCATTTCAAGAGTAATTGTCTTCCTCTTCTTTTTCTCACCAGAAGCAGGAGACACAGATGGTCATTTTATAGGCATGGATATAAAAACATAAAACAATATCCAAAAAATGCTGGCAACACAGTATATATAGTATTGGTTGTTTACCCTCATGATCAAGTGGCTGACAGGGAGATGTGGCTTACTGCCACTGCCCAGCATCACGAGAAAGTATTGTACTGCCTATCACCAGCCCTGAAAAAGATCAAAATTCAAAGTACAGTTTCTATTTAATGTGTCACTTTTGTACCAAAATAAAATTAAAAAATCAGAAGTAGAACCATTGTAAGTTGAGGACCATCTGTATTTGGGAAAATAAGAAAGACCAGGAGCCAACCAATCTTAAAAATGGGATTATAATAGAGTGGTGGTTAAATAGAGAGTTAAAACTCAGTGCCAATTTGTGACTTAAAAACACTTTAGCAAACTAATAACAGGCTCAACAAACTCCAGGCAGGAAGTTACATAAAAATACAATGAAAACAGAACCCAAAATCCATGCATTGGGTAATGTGAAAGCAAATCTCTACATGATTCAATTAAAGGAACAATGACAAAAATTTAGATCTGAATGAAAACCAAAAGCACTACATAACAAAACTTTTGTGATGCAAGCAAATGGCACTGGAAAAGGAAGTGCAGTTTATAGCTTTAAAATTTTTATTTTAAAAAAGTGGAAGTGAATGAACTAAGTTTTCAACTCCAGAAGAAAAGGAAAATGAAAGGAAGCAGGAAGAAGTATTAGCACAAACCATGCATTTTCTTAGGGAAGATCTTGCCAAGGAGTAAAAATTGGTTCTTAATTATTTTTTTTTAAATGTTAGATGTCACAATGGCTGTGGCTCTCTAAACGACCATACTACATAAACAGATAGACACTTATATGTGTGGTTTAAGATTTTGGAGGAGGTGGATAAAGGGAGGTAGTCATTAGCAAGAAAAAAAGTCTAAAAAGGCACCTAAAGGGGAGATAATGAAAAAAAAAAAAGTTAAAAAAACAAAAACAAAAACAAGACAAAAACAAAAACACTGCCCTGGATAAAAGAAGAAATTAGTGAAAGAGAAGAAAAATAGAGTTAGTCAAAACTTTAAAAAAGCCTAATAAAAATAGATTGCTTTAGCAAATATGATTAAGAAGAACAAGAGAAGGCACAAAAAAAAAGTTACCAGAAATAGAAAAGGACATAAACTCTTAACACCTCTCAGCTCTTTCAATTATAAAAAGAATACTGCAAACAAATTTATATCCGTAGAGTTGAAAAAAATATGAAAAATTTTATAGGAAAATATAAAATTTCAAAATGCTCTATGAAGATGTAGAAAATCTGAATGGACATTGTCATCAAAGATCTATCCCCCAAAATGGCACTGGGACTAGGCAGTTATATAGGCAAGTTCTCTAAACCTTCAAGAAGGAGTAACATTCATCTTTTATAAGTTGTATCAAATCATATATAAGATAGAAAATTAACCAATTTATATTACATAGTTAATACCAAATAAAAGGAAAAAATATACAGCACTTTTATCTAAAAAGATAGGTGTAAAAAATCCCAAGTAAAATACTAGAAGTTTTAATTCAGCAGTGAATAAGAAGAATAATTAATCATGATCATGTGACGTTTATCTCAGGAATGCAAGATAAATTTAATAATAGAGATTTGTCTATATAACTCATTGTATTAACCAAAGAAAGAAGAAAATAAATTACTTTCTTATATACCATCAATCAGAATTTGTAATAGACTGATTCCAGATAGAGTAGCAATAAAAAGTAAAGAAGTTTTATAGATGAAACTATAAAACTTTTACTGAATGACATAAAAGAAAATATGATGAAGTGGAGATAAATAATATGCCTGTGGATGATAAAGCTCAGTACTATAAAGATGTCCATCCTTTTCTCAAATTTATGTATTTAATGAAATGAAAATTGAAAACCTCCACAATTTTCCAATGCAAATCCCCAAATATTTTTCATGAAACTTTAAGAAAT